TATATAACAAAAACTATGTTCACATGTTACTATGTTGCTATGGTATATTGGTATATAACAAAAAGCTATGTTCATTATGTTATATGTAGCTATGGTATATTGGTATATAACAAAAGCTATGTTCATTATGTTATATGTAGCTATGGTATATTGGTATATAACAACAGCTATGTTCATTATGTTATATGTAGCTATGGTATATTGGTATATAACAACAGCTATGTTCACTATGTAGCTATGTTGCTATGGTATATTGGTATATAACAACAGCTATGTTCATTATGTTATATGTTGCTATGGTATATTGGTATATAACAAAAACTATGTTCATTATGTTATATGTAGCTATGGTATATTGGTATATAACAACAGCTATGTTCATTATGTTATATGTAGCTATGGTATATTGGTATATAACAACAGCTATGTTCATTATGTTATATGTTGCTATGGTATATTGGTATATAACAACAGCTATGTTCATTATGTTATATGTTGCTATGGTATATTGGTATATAACAACAGCTATGTTCATTATGTTATATGTAGCTATGGTATATTGGTATATAACAATAGCTATGTTCATTATGTTATATGTTGCTATGGTATATTGGTATATAACAACAGCTATGTTCATTATGTTATATGTTGCTATGGTATATTGGTATATAACAACAGCTATGTTCATTATGTTATATGTTGCTATGGTATATTGGTATATAACAAAAACTATGTTCATTATGTTATATGTAGCTATGGTATATTGGTATATAACAAAAACTATGTTCATTATGTTATATGTAGCTATGGTATATTGGTATATAACAAAAACTATGTTCATTATGTTATATGTAGCTATGGTATATTGGTATATAACAACAGCTATGTTCACTATGTAGCTATGTTGCTGATACCACTTACACTCATGATACTATAACATATTTTATTTTAGCTGGAATTAATTTTGGGTGTTTCGTATGGAATTTATTTTCACTGATTCATGACGAGTTGAATGTAAAATATAGGAAAGAAAGGGTATATTCGCTGAATTTTATTTTCACTGAATCGTTCCTTCAGGGTAAATAGCGAAAAAAAAATTCCAAGCAAAAATAAAGTATTTTACACTATTGTTTTATATCAGTGTATAACAAAAGCTATGTTCATAATGTACTATGTTGCTGATACCAGCTACTCACAGTGTTTTATATTAATATATGACAAATGTTATATTCATTATGTTCTATATTTATACATATATTCATTATGTTCTATATTTATACATTTATTCATTATGTTCTATATTTATACATTTATTCATTATGTT